TTGTAAATGAACGGCAGTGATGTGGGAGAAGCTGCAGAATGAAACAAAAAGCAAAAGAGCCTTTATTATAAAAGGTAAAACTAAGATACACTAAACATACTAATAAAGAATTAATACTAACTAGAGTTAATCGAAAACTAGTTGTCTCATTTCCTTCTGTTCAATTCACTACTTGGGCCTTCACTCAGGGCACTGATCGCATCCCTAGCAAGCCTTCTTCAGTTTTTCCAATGCACTCTTTGCACAATAGCTATGGAACACCTGCCACACATCAGAAGGGGAAACACCCATCCCCTCCATTTCCCTGCTGCCACCTCTACCTCATGGGACCAGCCCATTCTTCAGCAACAGCAGCAGCCATCACTAGCAAGACTCCAGCATAAGTAGATCACGTGCATGAATACGTTGCTGCTCTGGGCAACTCTCCACCTTCCTGACAGGACAGCCCTAGAAGGCAATCATTCTTCCAAGAGATATTCACCTTACAGCACCTCAAGATACTGAGGCGGAGGACAAGTCCAGGACAGCTCAGCCCGCCTCTCACAGTCTGTACTTTGTTGGAAAGAGCTGAGGATAAAATAAGTTTACAGAAAACTGGCTTTTGTGGAGCTACATCTTTCTACATGGATTGGAACTGGAAACATTAGAAACGAGCCCAAATAATAAGCTCCTAGCCACCCAGTTTTTGTGTCTTCCAAATATGAGACATTTACACAGACCAAATCTATTAAAAGCAACTATTTTCTTGTCTGTAACCATAATGGGATTTAAAAAAATTGAAATCTTAATGCTGTACCTGGGTCCAATCTCACCACCACCAGGTACAGCAGAAAAGTAGCCAACAGCATCTTTTTGTAAGGAAGTAAATAGAAGTGGCTAGACATGGATCTCAGTGCTCTACGTAGCAATGTCAACATGGTCAAGAGCTTTTGGGACAGAGCACCTAGAATACAAGAACAGAAAGGCTGTTAGGGCAAAGTGAAGTTCAAAAAGTAATCACATAGATACATATAATAAAAAACTAAGATACTAAAGTAACACAGTTCTTAGTTTGATTGCATGAGTTGTTTCTTTTTTTTTTTTTGTAATAGGGAAGAGAGTAGTACAATTTTATAACACAATTCATTATGCCTTTTTTTAAGGCATCTACTTTAGTATAATATGATCTATACCACAGTAGCAACAGCTTCTCTCCTGGGAGATAATGTCAAGTGATTTACTGTTCTGGAGGAGAAGCAGTACTTTAAAAGCCAGATGTGTTGTTCTACGTGGGCTCAACTATAAATGGAGACGAAGCAGAGACTACACATAGCCAACAAAATGTGCCCTTAAATGACTGCTAGTTATAGTTTTCCTTTTGCATGTTTTTTTTTTTTTTGAAAATACACATTTATGCTGAAGTGCTTTTTAACCTGGAAAACAATTCTCATCTTTTGACACTGGGAGAGACTAAATATGCTTTGTAATTGTCAGCAGATGGATCACTAAGTCTTCCATTTCCTTCTGTGATACCCATCAGGACTTCCTTGTGGCTGGTTTGTCATGACAATATCCTTAATACCTAGTTAATGCTTGCTACCATTTGTTAGTAAGGGATTAACTAACTTGAAATTAAAAAAAAAAAAAAAAAAAGGAGCACAAGCAACAGAGGGAAAGCCTACCCAAAATCGTTTCTGTTGATGCATCTTGCTGCTCTTCAGCAGCTGAGGGCACCTCTTCCCGTTGAGTCCACTGACATCGGCTTTCACAAATGGTCCTGAGAAATGCTAGCTGCTGCTCGCTGTCAAAAACATCACAGCCACGTACAAGCTCTTCTGCCCTCTCAAACCGGCCAAGCGGAAGCAACACATGCAACAGATAGAGCTCCAGCAATGAACCATATTCGGGGAGGCCCTTATTGGTTTGGTCTCTCAGCCAGCTACTGCCAACCTCCAGCATCACCTGGGGCTCTCTCACTTTGCTGTATAACAGAATACTGAAATACAAGAAAGAAATATTAGAAGACACTAACTCTTTGAAAAAGTTGAGATCGCTGACAGTTACCACAAGCAGCTATCATGAAGGCATGTATCAGGATCTAGATTTGAAGCACAGAGAGATTTTTACGGTGGACAATAGGTGCAGCCATTGATGTTACTTTCTCCGCATCACCCCTGTTATACTTTATCACCATAAAGCAATCTGCTGGCCTACAGGCATGCTCCAGCACACACAGCTCAAGAACAGGCCTGTCCCAGGTGCCGCTTTCATCCTCACACCACACAAAGTGAAAATATCACACAATGTTCAAGTCTGGCCTGCTATTATACTTAACACAAGCCCTGCGTATCTGACAGCCACAGACAGAAACTCACCATAGCTCCAGAACTTTTGGAGGCAAATGTTCAGGGACATGGTAATACTGTAGGACCCAAGACAGAACTTCTCTCCACCGGTTCATCTCAGCCAGTGCCTGAATCCCCACAACACAAAGGGAGCATTTCACTTCTGCAGAACTGGTAATGAAGAGACACCTAAGTAAG